AGTAAACAAGAGTAGTGTAGGTAGGGAGTAAGCGCGAGCTAAGACGTTTCGGTCCATTAAGTCATAAATATATTTTCAAGTTAGATCAAGGCGTGAACATTTCATTAAAGACAGGCTACTCCAATGTACGCCTTATACCATTTTAGATATTGTTTGTCCAAAGCTAAATTTGCACCTCATTTTCATACCACTGTTGTGGAATCGGCACACGAAGCACAATGCTTTTCAGTTCTAAAGCCTGATAAGTGTTTGTTAAAAGGGTTTTCTTTTCAGCTGGATCATCAGGGTGGAAATGGTGGAGCCGAATTGGAAGAGGATGATTTCAACAACCTACTGACTGAAGAAATTGGCGAAGAGTTCAGCGACTTAATTGGGAATGGTGAAGATCTGATGACGAATGCCACTGGACCTCCGCCGCATTCCGCCGGTTTGCGATTGAGCGGAAATACTGGAATTCCAAGCGAATATGCTGGTTATTTTTAAAATTTGTTTATTTACTGCATGGATCAGAGCTACAAATTTCATGAAATATTAGTAGTTTTAGCCAAAATTAAAACGTTTCGTTCCATCGATTTCATCATATGCTTTAGCACAAAAAAATGGGATTATCGCGAGTGCTGTCTTTTTTGGGAAGGAAATTTTGCTTCGCAAAATAGATTGCTTCCCTCGGCTGCAAAAAAGGCGTGCATCGACTTCTTGAATGAAGGAAATAAGAGGAAGGGAAAGAAGTGAAAAGAATCGCAGAGGAAAAATTGTCCATTCGTTTGTTTCAGATGTTTCGATCGAAAATCAGCCACTGGCAACCGGTTATTACATATCCACAGCACCGGCTTCGGATCTACCAGATTGGTTCTGGTCTGCCTGCCCATCGGCTAAACGACGTAATCCGGTACACTTAAAAAGTTCGCTCCATCTCAACACGCCGAACGTTCAGCAGGGTGACGATATTTCATCATTTGGCAAAGGTGCCGAAGCCTGCCACCATCAGCTAGATAGCCAGGCTACTGCTGACGTCTTGAGGTTATTTTTTAGATTTCGCTTTTTGAGAGAACATTCGAAAATTCTGGAATAAGCAATTTCAAAATTGAATTTAGTAATCAGTGAGCCGCATATAACGAACAGTAATCGTTACGCATGTCGTTAGTTTGAGTCTGCTAGAGGAAGTGTTCATTTACCGTAGTGGCAAATTGATATTGGGATGCATGGAGTCAGAATCGTTGTCACCTTGTTTCTAAAGCAGTTTTCAAACGCCAAATGCTATTGTTTGGGCTACTTCGAAGTTTTTTGCCTCTTATACAGAATGGAGATTTCAACACTGATTAAATTTAAATTTGAAAAAAAATGGAATCGAGTAAATTTGGTCCCAGAAAGTTGAAATTTGCGTCACTTTCTAAGAATTTTAAACAATTTTAAATGAACGTTTTTTTCCAATTGCAATCGAAAATAAATACGAAATCAAATTACCAATAAATGGAGGTAGGGGTCGAGGAGGAGAAGGGGAGGGGGAAGGAGGAAAGATGAACGGGAAAACGGGTGAGAAAGAAGTTTACTGTGCTTTAATTTTAAAGTGATTTTTTCGATGTTTTCAGATATGTACTGGAAACTTACAATGCACTATCCTGGTTGAATATGGATCTCGTAACCGGTGAACGGCGTTCTTGTTTGCCAATTCATGTGCAGGCACTCATGCGGCTTTGTAATACAGTGAATCGTTTCATCAACTAAGGGAGGAGGCTGCTGTGTAAGCATGCTAACTTTGAAAAGCTGGTGTCGTTGGCGAACAGCTGTCACACGGGCCATGTCCGAGTGCCTTGTCTGTTATTGAAAGTGATGTGCGAAAGGAGTTTGGAATGTCTGATTTTCCAGCTGTTGCAGTCTGAGAGCTACCAGAGATTTGTTGTTATCGAGCTGGAGATGAGAAGAGTGGCAAAGTGTGCGAAGAAAATTCTGTGATAGTTGGTTGGTCTTTCGGCAAAGTTTCTGCTTTCACATCGACTGCTCGCATGTTAAAAATAAGAAAAAAGCCGATGAAGACTGTGCAGAAAATGTTTTTTTGCATCGAAAATGTGCAGGACTGGCAAGGGAACACAGTTCTCAGAATTGAAGATCTCTTTGTGGAAAAACGTGACTTATACTGGTGATGA